ACCCTGCTGAAAAGCTTCTGGGTAACAGAACAAATAAACAATGAAGTTAAAAGAATTCCCTGAATCAAATGAATATGAAAACACCTACATACTAACCACTTATTTTGAGACAGTAAAATCAATGCTTACTGACCAAATTATAGCAATAAACACACATATCCAAAAAAAAAGAAAGACCCAAAATCAACACAACATTTCCAATAATTAGAAAAAGACCAGCAAAGTAAGCCTACAGTCACCAAAAGAAAAGAAATAATAAAGGTTAGAACAGAAATAAATGAATTAGAGAGTAGGAAAACAATAGAAAGAAACAAGATAAGTTATTAATCATAGAACCCTATCCAGAGAAGCAGTGACACCAGAGATAGAGGCAGCAATGAGGACATAGAGAAATAGAACAGTAGAGGACTCTAGACTCATGGAAAGAGAAAGGCTGTGTGCTGGTGGTCAGGTGCAGGGAAAAGAAGCAAAAATACTGTTCAATAATGATGCACAGAGGAAGTTGTCATCATTGCAATGAAATGATGAGTTTAAAACTGATGTGCTCCCATGTAAACTATCACTCAATTCACAACAAAAATGTTTTTAAAATTATTAATCCTTTGAAAGGATTAATAAAATTGACAAATTGCTGGCAAATCTAACAAAGGAAAAGAGAGAGAATAGACAAATAACACATAAGAAACAAATGGTTGTGATATTGCAACACAGCCAAAAGAAATAAAAGGATAATATCAGAATACTACGATGAGTTGTATTCTAACAAATTTGATAATCTAGAAGACATTGATATATTTTTGAAACAGCACAACCTAGCTATACTAACACAGAGTAAAGTAAAAACTTTAAACAGACCTATAGAAAAGAAGAAATGGATCAGGTCATTAAACTCCCAACTAAAAAAGTCCAGGTCCAGATAATTTTACCAAACATTCAGTGAAAAGGTGACACAAATTTTACTAAAACTAATTCTGAATATAGAAAATGATGGAAAACTCCCCAATACATTTTATGAAGCTAGCATAACCCTTACACCAAAACCAGGAAAGGACATCATTAAAAAGAAAATTACAGACCAATATCCTTCATGAAAATAGATGCAAAAATTCTCAACAAAATCCTAGCCAGTATAATTCAACAATACATCAAAAAAATAATAATACATCATGACCAAATGGGATTCACTCTAGGGAGGCAATAATGGTTCTCTGTAAGAAAAAAAGTCAACATAATCCACTGTATAAATTTAAAAAAAAGAAAAGAACCATATGATCATATTGATTGATGCAGACAAGACATTTGAAAAAAAAAGTAACATCTATTCTTGATAAAAATGCTCAACAAAGTAGAAATTGAAGGGAAATTCCTCAACATAATTAAGAGCATATATACAAATCCAACAGCCAGAATTACTCTTAGTGGAGAGAAACTAGTATTCCCTTATGAACAAGCACTAGACAAGGATGTCCTTTATCACCTCGGCTATTCAATATTATATTGTAAGTCTTAGCCACAGCTATGAGGCAAGAAAGAGAAATTAAAAGCATCCAAACTGGCAAAGAAGAAGCAAATCTCTCTATTTGAGGTGATCTGATCTTATACATGGAAAATCCCAAAGACTTAGCAAGAAAATTAATGGAACTCATTTAAAGAGTCAGCAAAGTGGCAGGGTACAAGATCAATATACAAAAATCAGTTAGATTTTTTATGTATTAATAAAGACAGCTCTGAAAAGTAAATTGTTGTTGTTGTTAGGTGCCATCTAGTCAGTAACAACTC